GGCCAGCCCGGGGAGGGGCAGTCTGGCCTTTAAAGAACTGGTCCAGCAAGTCTTAGTGATTTACCTCAGAGATGGCAGCCTGTCATCTAAAGTTGGGGTTCTGTTGACTTAGGGTCATCTAAGTCATGAGTCACCTTTCACCACCACAAAGGCAGCTGGCTAAAGCCCACGGCCTCTCTTGTGTCCTAACCATGCTTCAGAAGTCCGGTCTGCAACCCTGATGAGGCGATGCTTTGTTGTCCAGGCTCTGTGATTAGCCCCATGGCCCCTGGAGGCCATTTTGGTTGGCCTCATGCTGATGTCCCTCATCTGAATGAAAGTCTCTCCTGTTTAAGGCTTAGTAAAAAGATGTCTATAGCAGAGCTTTGGATGTGGATCTCTCCCTCCCTAAAGCAGCTAGTTAAAACATGAAAAGAGGAGGAGCCTATCGGTTTACAGAATCGGTCAGTCAGAAGGAGACAAACTCCCTCTCAACTGCAATCAGCCTCTGTGGGTTGGCTCGGCTCTCCTCTGGACCGTTCTCATTCCTCTGCAGGTGCGCTCCCTCAGAGGCCGACAGCCATCAGCAGCTCCAAGCTTGTGTTCCATCAACTTGAACAACTCTGGCAGACACAAAAGAAAAGAAAAAAAGACTACTTTCCCTGTAGCTCCAGAAACAGGGCTGGGCCACCCAATGGCCATCCTTGGCCCAATCACAAGCAGGAAGGGTGGGTTGTGCCAACGGCTAACTGAATCATGAACTCAAGACGAGACAGGGAGAGCTCTGCTCCGTCCAAATGCCCTGGGTGGCTCTTCGAAGGAAACCAGGGGTCTCTGGTGGGGGCAGGAGTTGTTCCTGGAATTCTTATAAAGGCCATCTCGCCCCTTCCTCACCCCCAAGAGATGGGGTTTCTCCTATTCTGCCATCTTTTCTGGGATATCAAATTTAGCATAGTACTTTGGCCTGGACCTCCCTGTCCCTCCAAACCATATCCTGCACAACCTGAGCATTTCTGGGCCTAAAGCCCCCCAGGTTTGCTTGGGTCCTGCCTCTGAACATGCAGTTCCCTCTCTCTAGTTTCAGGCTCCAAAGTGGGGCCACCTTCTAGGGAGCCACGTAGGGCTGACCCACCTAGGCCACTTCTGGGGTGTCTGACTTGGCAGACGTTGTGTGACATTTCCAACTGGGATGTCCCCAGTCATGCCTGTGGGACAGGAGGGGGTGGGGGCTCTGTGTTAGGAAGGGCACACGGGGCCAGGATGGAGGTAGCTGGGGAGAAGGGACCAGGCCTGGGGGCAGGGTGTGCAGTGGTCCAGGAGGGGGCTGATGAGCAGTGTGGGAGGGGTGGCCCCAGTTCTCGGAGGCCACGCCAGCACTGCCCGGCTGGCAGGTGGGGACAAGAATGAAGGATGCCATCAAGCTTCCCCTCAGGGTCTGTGGACACTCGGGATCAAGCTCTGGGGCCGAGTCAATCTGCCCCTCGAGTGGCCAAGTCCGTGGCCAAGTCAGCCCCAGGGCTGGACCCATTTCAAGGACACCAGATCTCCCGCTCCTTCCGTAAGTCTCTGCCTGGAGGGTTCAGCCTCTTCACTCCATTCCCATGTTATAATAAACCCCAAGGCCCCCAGAGTGACAGTGATCCAGCTTATAAAACAAACGTGGATACGGATTTTGTTTTCCAAGGAAAACCTCACACGAAGTCTGTACCAAATGCCCAACAGATATGATCCAACAAACGGTCCCTTCAGCAAACACGTCTTCACTAGTTAGTCCCTGCGCTTCAGCGTGAGAAGAAAAGTTCCGATTGTCAAAGAGAACCCAAGCAAAGGAGTAAGCGAGGAGATAGGTGGCGCAGCGATGAAAGCACGCAGCAGTTAACAGAAAGGTCCGTGGTTTGAACCCACCAGCCACTGTGGGAGAAAGATGGGGCCGTTGGCTTCCACAGATCACAGCCCAGGAACCCCCCAGAGTTCTACTTTGTCCTTTAGGGTCGCTGTGAGCAGAATCACACCACAGCGATGAGCCTTCTAAATTCGTAAGATGATCTCACGGCAACCGTTTCAGGGTTTGTCCAGCCTCCATGGCTCCAGAAAGTCTGGATGCCACAAGAGGCTTTCTGTATTTGGGGAACCCCCCAA